TCTTAACAACCCCTCCTCCAGGACAGACTGTCTCACCCAAGAGGAAAGTGTGTGTGTGTGTGTGTGTGTGTGTGTGTGTGTGCGCACATGTGCGTGTGCCTATGGAAGCCCAAGATGGATGTTGGCCATCATCCTTCAATTGCTCTTCCTCCTAAATAAGGCAGGCTCTCTCAATAAAACCCAAACTTCACTGACATGACGAGTGTCTCTCCTTGGCTTGCTTGCTTTGGAGATCCTCTTGTCTTTACTCTCTGAGGTTGGATTTATAGAAGGGCTGCCATGCCCATCTGGAAATTACACTTGATTGGAAAGGACTTTAATTAACCCCCACTGTTTCAGAATTTGCAGTTTCTTCTCAGGTTTTGGATGATTGGTGCATACATAATGTGATAACCTGGGAACGTGACTCTAGTCTAAATGCAAAATTCAATTATGCTGCATACACACGGATACATTATCTGAAGGCCATTTTATATATGATTTTTCTTTTGTTTAGAGAAAAGTTCATACTTGTAGCTCTGGCTGGCCTTGTACTTGCAACCTTGCTGCCTCAGACTCCTAAATACAGGCCACATAGGTGTGTGAAGCCGTGCCCAGTCTACAGTGCCCTTGAGTTTTCATTGTGGATTGTCACAGCGGTCAGATGAAGTCCCCATCTGTGGCATCGTGTAGATCACATGTAAGGCTTGGGTACTGGGGAGTTCTGGGTTTGAGCTGCAGCCTCGTTCTTTTCTGGGATTTTGAGTTACACTGGGTTGTTGAGTTTCCTGAGATCCTCTTGGTTCTGACGGTTTCTGAGACTTTCCTTGTTGGGAGCTCAAGCCTTAAGCACAGGACCACATGCGCTGCGCGGCATTCACAGAACTGGACGCACAAACTGGGCGCACGTGCGCAGCTTCAGTGCGGCTCTGACTTGGTGTCAGGGTGTGCTGTGTAGGCAGAGCGGAGAGTCACCCCGGTGAGCAAATGTGTGCAAGAACCAGAGCTGGGGTCGCGGGGACAAAGATTGAAACTGGGGAGCCACTTTTGGCTGTGCCACCTGGGACGAGTTACCAAACCTCTCCGAGTCCCCGGCTCCACGTCTGCCAGTGGGGTTGTGCAGATGCGACATAAGGAAGGAGAAACAGAAACGTCAGGTTATGGGTAGAGTGCAAAGCAGAGGGAATGGAGAGGAGGCAGGGATGGCTTAAAAGTGTGGCCTGGTCCTATCTAAATCTAGGGCAGGTATTCCCTTAACCTAACTCACACCTGAGCATCACTCGCAGGATTACATAAATAAACCAATGTCTGGGTCCCATTCAAGGGATGTGATTCAATTGGTCTGCAGTTTAAACATGAGTCAGAAGTTTTGCGAGCCACATGTCGGCAGGCAATGTCTTCTGGGCACAACAGGACTGTTGAACTTGTGAGCAGCTACTCCGGTTGCCTGCACAAGATCTAACCAATGAGCATTTTAGCACAGAGACAGGAGGGGCTCACAAGCCCCAACCCATAGCTGAGGAGCTACTGAAAGTCAGTTTTCTTGAGGGTTGTGGTCCCTGGAAGGTTGAGTGTGCTCCAGTGGATAGCCACACACACGTCCACATGCAAGCAGCACTAGTGGGACTCAGGGAGTTAAAAATAAGAGGATAGCACGTCAGTAGAGGGTGTGGTAGTGAGGGTCTGGGAAGGGTTGGAGGGAGGATATGATCAAAATACATTGTATGCAGGTATGAAATTCTCAAAGAATAAATAAAAATATATTTTAAAATGATGGTTTCAAGTTCTACCCGTTTTCCTGCAAATTTGACAATGTCGTTCTTTGCAGGTGAGTGAAGTTCCACTGTGTTCCTGTACTGTAGTGTTTTTATTTGTTCAGGGGTTGATGGACACCGTGGTTGTGGTGAGTAGGGTAGCCACACCTAGGATGTGTGGATCTCCGAGATAAAAATCCTTTATGCCTCCTCTCAAGCGTGGTCTAGTTGGGTCAAGCGTGGTCTAGTTGGGTCAAGCGTGGTCTAGTTGGGTCAAGCGTGGTCTAGTTGGGTCAAGCGTGGTCTAGTTGGGTCATACGGTACCTCTATTTTCAGTTTTTTTTTGAGGCAGGCTCACAGTAGTTGCACCATTTTACACTCTCATGAACAGACTATAAAGGCTCCCTTACTCCCTGTCCGCGCCAGGATTTCTTCCCGGTTTTATTGGTGACAGCCACACTGACTCGTGTGGGGGTGGGGAGATAGGATCTCAGTGCAGTTTTGATTTGGCGTTAGAGTTTTAAGACGTTTTCCTGGTTTTTGAAGGGTACAGCTAAGATCGAGAACCACCTTGCTTAGCGAGTGTGTTCAAGGGTTAGGGCCAGGGCTGTGTACAAAGATTGGAGTTGGGGGACAGGGCTGTGCTGCTTTCTGAGTACTTGTCACTTTGTCCACAAACTGGGGTGGTCATGTCTACTTTGTAGAGCTATGCAAATGAAATATAGCTAAAGGAGTCTGTCTGATTCACGAGGTTGCCACCAATAATTGCCCAGTAATAACAATAACGAGCACCTATTGGACTTACAATAATAACGAGTGTGTGTGCATGTGTGTGTTGGTGAGCTTGCCACAACAGCACGTGTGTGGGGGGCGGGGGACAACTTCTGGTGTCGGCTCTCTCCTTCGCCTTTATTCAGGGATGCAACTCAAGCCACTAGCACTGTAAGCTGTAGGCCTTCCCCGCGTTGACTTTCGTTGTCCCTCTGGGCTCTGTCCTGAACTCGATAAAGAGCCTCTTAATTCTCAGAAGAACCAATGCGCTGGAAGCAACGAAGTCAGTATCATCTGAGAGGAAAATGCAGCTCCACACTGTCCCGTGCACTGAGCTGACAGCAAGGGATATTATTAATTACAACAGTAACCGCAATTATGAAAGGTTCCGGTTTGCACAGCGTTTCCACGCTCTCCAGCGCTTTGCTTTGCTCAGCTGTAATTTTCTTGCAGGTCAGGCTCAGAGAGGGAGAGGGGCTGGCCCAAAGGGACACAGCAGTGAAGTGGCCAAAGCCAGAAAGGTGCACCCGAGGGAGAAGCTGGCCAGCGAGTCCACGTGGTGGCGGTGGTCACCCGACGCTGGCGGTCTCCCCTCCCCCGCCTCAGACCCACGCTGAGGATGTGGGCTCCCGCCCAGAGGTAACAGCGCCAGGTACCCTGTGCGTCCCAGGGGAACCTCCTGGCCTTAGAGGACTCGGGAGGGGCAGGGGGCGGGCTCGGAGGCGCGGCTCGGCGCAGGGGCGGAGGCTGTGCGCGAGAGGCCGGCCACCTCTCCCGCCCCGCGTCCCCCAGCTCCTGTGCGGCTGCGGCAGGGGGACATCCCTGAGGGGGTACCGCCCCCAGCCCCGGCCCCTCGCCCCCCGCGCCCACGTGAGAGCAAGACCAGCCCGCATCCCTCCTGCTGCATAGCGCGTCCCGGCTCCGCGCCGGTGCCTCGGTAGTCCGGTCCCCAACGCAGATTCAGCGCGGGTCCCTGGCGGGTCCCGACGGACCCGGCCGGGAGCTTCCAAGGGTTCTGGCTTCTGCATCCCAGCGCAGCACGCAGGCCGAGGCGTGGGCAAGGCGGCCCCGCTGACCCAAGGCTGGTGAGTGGGACATTTGCTCCTGCGCGGGGTTGGCTCTGAGTCCGAGGCAGGTGAGGGTCCCCTGTGCACAGGTCCCCAATTTCTGGCTATCTTTCCTTAGCTCTTCCCTGTCCCATTACAGGTGCTGAGCCTGTCTGTGCCAGGTCACCCTGATGAGTTTCCTGTCGTTAGATCCCCGGGTCTTCTTCCCATCTCCCACACTCCTCATTCAGTAACCTCAACTCTCAGGTAGTCCTGTTTCCAACAGAGAATGAACCCGATGCTCTCCTATTTCTTGGGCTGGACTCCCTCTTCCCTACCAGAGGTTCATCACCCAAACCCAGCCATGTCTGTCGGGGTTAAGGCTGGCCACCATTTCAGGGAACCGGGTATGGAGATGCGAGTGACTGAGTTTTGGATGGGATTGCATTTTTAAAGAGGGGTGTGTAGTCAAGTGTTTGGACATAGAGAGTTTTGTGTTCTCATGTGTGTGCTTGTGTGTCTAAGAACTGTGTGAACGTCACTGTCCATGTAGTTTCATGTGCATGGGGTACTTGTGCAGGAGACTTAAATTGTGTGCCTTTGAGTTTCGTGGTTGTGCATGACAGTGGCGTGTGTGTGTGTGTGTGTGTGTGTGTGTGTGTGTGTGTAGACTTTGTATGGCTGATGCTGACTGCAAGTGATTGCATTTTTTGACGGTGTGTAATGTGTCTGTTGGTGGGCATGAATGTAGCAGATATTTGTGTGGAACTGTGTGTCTGGTGTGGCAATATGGATTTTCACATTTCTGAAGGGTGTGAGTGGCTGTTTGTCTGAAGAGTTTGCATGGGACTGTGTGTCCATAAAGGATTATGTGGGTGCCAATTGCACACAGATGTGAGCCTGTGTCTAAGCCTGTGTGATGAACTAATTTCTATCCTGCCTTTCCCTCCTGTCACCCACTCCATGTAGCACAGCATCAACATACGATTTAGCCCACCATTGTTTGTGTAAGAGAAGACATTGGCCATGTCTTAGTTAGAGGTCTGAGAATGGAGGGAGGAAAGAAAAGACAGGAGGCCAGTTAAACTCACAGATGCGGGGCTTGAGAGCAGGCTCAGTGGTAGAAAGCACCTTCTACTCCCTGACTTGATTACCAGTTCCAGGGCCTGTGACAATCCTCTTCAGGCCTCCACAAACACCAGGCATGTTATATGCAGGTCAAACACTCATATACAAAAGATGAATAAGCTCATCTTTTTACATACCACACACACACACACACACACAGAGATAGAGATAGAGATAGAGATAGAGATAGAGATAGAGAGATAGAGAGAGAGAGAGAGAGAGAGAGAGAGAGAGAGAGAGAGAGAGAGAGAGAGAGAGAGCGAGCGCTTGGGCTGCATCAACAAAGAAAAAGAAAACATAAAAAATGCAAACACACAAAATATCCTTTTCTATGTATTCCTTTTCTGAAGATTGAAGTTAACCCCCAAGACTGCATCAAATTCTGATTTGGTTACAAAGTACCAACAAACCCTCCCTCCTTCTCTTTCTCTTTCTTCTTCTCCTTCTTCTTCCTCTTCCTCTTCCTCCTCTTCCTCTTCTTCTTCTTCTTCTTCTTCTCTCTCTCTCTCTCTCTCTCTCTCTCTCTCTCTCTCTCTCTCTCTCTCTCTCTCTCTCTGTTAGAAGACAAGAGCTCCCTGTATAGTACAGGCTGGCCTGAACACATACATGGCATTCTGCTGCTGTTTCTCAAGTGCTGGGACTACAGCCATGCATCCCCAGGTCAGGCTCACAAAAATCTGTTTTTGGATCAACCTTCTGTCTCAGGACAATGGCCAATTGTGGAGTTGATGCCATTGCACATCTATAGCCAATGTATGGTCAGCATTAGAAACACACATTTCTTCTCCCTCGGGGCCTATTATGACACACCATGGCCCCTTTAGAGCTCCTGGGGTCTTTTCCCCCACTGCTTTCTGGCCATACTGCAGGGGGCCCTTAGCTTCGGGTGTCATCTGTAGAGTGAGGCAAACCCTTCACTTTCAAAGACCTCTTCTTGGTCTTGAAAGTCGACACTTGTTTGAGCTTTAGGGGTCAGAAGGACTTTCTTGTCTTGCCCTTATTTCCAAGGGGTGGCTTGTATGGTTCATGACACTTGAGAGTTGAGGGGACAAGGGGAGAGACCCATCCTTTAACCCTGTACCTTGCAGAGATTGGAGATCCTGGAAAGGCCATTTCTAGAATAGGTAGTCCAGGAGCCAGGGGCCAAGAGAAGGCCTAGAACCAGAAGAAACCGGAACTGGTTCCTGGAAAGAGACATGCCCGACAGCTCTAGAGTCCTAAGAGCTCCAGGAAGGCCCAGGCGAAGGATACTTTCAAGTGTTAGAAAATGTTTTTTTTAAACATTTATTACACTTTAATAAGCATGCAAAGAACTCAGTTTCAGCACACCATTTCTCCCAAACGATTATTGTTAATTTTATAAGCTAGGCACACAAAGTCAAATGCTGTGTGGTCTCACTCACATGCAAGCTACAGATCTTGACCTTGAACAAATAGAGAGAGAAATAGTGATGATGAGAGGGGAGACAGGGCAGGGGAGGGTGATGATATTGTTCAACAGTTTATTCTCCTGTAAAGGACTAGGCGACAGGAGTTCGAATGCTCCTGGCTAATGCAGATGAAAGTGCCAAGGGGGGCTTGGTTTGACATCTGCACCACATTCCATGCTCTGAAAGGTTTCACTGTGCCCTGTGGGTGGGGTCAATGATCCCATGTCCACTGAGATAAAATCGAAGAATTACATAGTGGCAAACCACAGCTATCGGCATTTATAGGGATTTACAATGGTGAAAGTGTGGAAGACAGCCTTGTCTTTGAGCTCAGCCTCATATCTTTTGGATCTCTGCTTGCTTATTTGTTTCATTGTTTTTCAATTGCTACTTGCTGGCTTTTCTCCCGGCAGCAGGGCAGCGCTGGGAAGGAACTCAGGGCCTCACACACTTACAGAAGCTCTACTCCTGCGCCCTCAGGCCCTCACTACTCCGGCGCTCACATCTGCTTTGCTAGGCTACAGTCTTCTTCTTTTTTAATTATCACATTTATTCAGTGTGTGTGTGTGTGCGAGCACGCGCGCGAGCACCCTCAGCATGCACAAGTCAGAGGACAACTTGTGGGAATTAATTCTCTCCTTTCCTTGTGTGGGTCCAGGATTGAAGTTGGGCCATCCAGGTTGGCAGCAATCCTCTTTACCCGTCGCCCCCACTTTTACAAAGTCAGAGTCTCCTTTGTAAATGGGTTGTTTTGTGACCCTATTTCAGCAACCCGCCTTTGCCACTGTAGCTCGGAAGCACCTGCAGAAATTCGCAACGAATGAGCACAGCTTTGTGCCAACACCGTGATTTAAAAGTGTCAACCCCACAGACGTTAGGCCAGGTTTGAGTCACAGACTACCACATGTCAACTCCCACACTATCCAGCTTTTAGGTCTCCTTAGGGAATTTGTTCCAGGCACACCTTCCACCCTGGGTGGACTCCAAAACCCTAGTATGTGAGAGTCTTTTACATACAATGGCATTATATTTGCATGGAGTCCTTTCCTGTCCTCTCTCATATTTAACTCATTTCTACATTACGTTAAATACCTAGCACAATGGGTAAAGGTGCTTTCCACCAAGCCTGAAGTTCTGAGTTCAATCCCGGGGACTTACATGGTGGAGGAGAGAATGGATCTCCAAAAATTGTCCTCTGGCCACCCCACCAACACACACACACACACACACACACACACAGAGAGAGAGAGAGAGAGAGAGAGAGAGAGAGAAGAAAGAATAATAAATATAATAACCTAGCACAACTCAATACTGTGCATGTAGTTGCTATGCTGTGTTGTTTAGGGAATAAGAGGAAAAGTCTTTTCATGTCTAGTACAGATGCAAATTGAACAACTTCATCAACTAAGCTTACACTACCATTGATTAGAAGAAATGGTTTAAACTTTAAGAGTGTTTTTGCTCGCATAGAGGACTGAGATTCTGCTCCCAGCACCCACAGGACGGCTCACAACTCCCTGTAGCTCCAGGGCAGACAATGTCCTTTTCTGAACTCTATGGTTAGTGCACACACGGTGCACACATGCACATGGAGTCAAACACTCATACACATAAAATGGGTTATTTTTATCTTTTCAGTTATGTGTGTCCATGTGTGGGTGTGCACACATGACGTCAGGTGACCGTTGAGACAGAGCTGGCTGTGAGCCACCTAACATTGTCCTTTTCAAAGAGCAGCAAGCGCCATTACCTATGAACCATCTCTCCAGCCTTACCATTGAGTCTTAAAAAGTATTCTTCGGTAATTTCATATATGGATACATACATATTTAGATCACATCTACCTCTCCTTCCTCTTCCTCTTCAACTCTTCCTGACCTCTCCCCACCCCCACATTCTCCTCCTAACTTCATGTTGCTCCCTCCTCTTCTTCACTTTCTCTAAATAATCCAGAGAGTCCATTTAGTGCTGCCCCAATGCCCATGAGTACAAGGCACCACCCACTGGAGCGTGGGCAACCTGTCTCGGCCACACCACTGAAGAAAACCACCCCTCTCTGTCAGGATCCCATCAACTATCAATAGCTCTTGCAGCTAGATATGACCTGATTGATTTTTTGATACGGGGTCTTTCTATGCAACCCAGGCTGGCCTTGAACTCCCACTTTCCCTGTCTGAGGCCCCTGAGTGCTGAGATGATGGATATGCAGCTCTTGGCTTGACTCACTGAACATTTTTCATCCAGTGTTGGTTTTATCTGAGGTTGATTTAAGGATCTGCAGAGCCAGCCGCCTGGACTGTACCGCATGGCTTGCAGGGCAGAGAAAGGAAAAGAGTTGGGTGTCCAGGTTCCTGACTGCTCTGGACTCACTTGAACGCTCTTGGGATTCAGGCTGATTTCCAGTTATCATGTGGTAACCGGGAACATGATATCCCAGAGGAGAAGGAAAGACTGCTTGGTGTCTGTGAGCGTTCAGAGCAAGGCAATAACAACACCGTGACTTCGGGCGGCCAGTCCATTTAGAGCAAAATCCACACTGAGAAGCAGGGCATGGATCCAGGGCATGGAGACCCCAGTCAGGTGGCCTGTCTTTTGGAAGCCGGTGGAGAACTGAGACAGACAGAGAGGACAGCACTACCCAAGTGGCTGTCTTGGGTAGTGGCCGCAAAACAATGCTGGAAGAGTTCAAGGCTGCGCGTGGTGGTGCATGCCTGACATCCCAGCTACTTGGGAAGCTGAGGGGATCGGTACCAAGACCTGAACCTAGGCCCCGAACATGGCAGGCAAGCACTCTATCCTGAGCTATGTAGTCTGGCCCTCTTTAAAAAAGAATTTTATTTTCCTGTTTGAGAGAGAGAGAGAGAGAGAGAGAGAGAGAGAGAGAGAGAGAGAGTGTATGTGTGTGTACGTGTGAGTGCAGGTGCCAGTGCGGCCAGGAGGGGCGCAGCAGTTCTGAGCTACCTGATGTGGGTGCGGGGAACGGAACTTCTGCAGGATTAATATTCACCCTTAGTCACTGAGCCATCTCCCATCCTTGCCCAGTAACTCTCTTTTTAACTTTTTATTTGACACAGGGTCCTACTACGTTGCAGGTGCTGGCCTTGAACTTGTAACCTGCCTCCCCCAGCACCCTCAAGAGTAGCCAATATTATAGGGCTCTCAAAGGCTGGGTTGAAAGCCAGTTTCTACGCCGTTTTGTAACTTCCAAGTGTTTGACTGCTAAACAGATTGGCAGGTTTTATATTTATGTTCACTTTGTTTAAATTACGGAAAATGCAACATCCCATTTTGGATACCTTAAAAAAAAAGGAAGTCAATAAGGATAAATAGGCAATAGACATGGACAAAAAGAGGGAAACAAAGTCTGAGGTTTCACTCCGAAAGAGGCTCATGAAGGCTCATCAGTCAAGCTGGGACTAGAAATGTCCTCATTTCTTTCCCAAGGGATCCCCCGCCCCTTACCACATTGCTCTCCTGGTGATGCACACATTAGTTGGGTGCCACTGTTTGCCAGGCACTGGTTGGTTTTGTCCTCGTGAAGGGTGGACCATGGGCGTCTTCAGGCCGTACGCGCAACTACTGTGGTTGGGGGACTAGTTTAAAGGTGCCTTTCAAGAGCTCTTCGTGCAGTGGGCACTCAGCAAAGGCCTGGCGCTTTCGTTTGAGAGCTGCAGTTGCTTGAGATGATCTCAGTGAGGACAAGGCTGGAGGCAGAAAACCTTAAAGGTGTGCAGTGTTCTGTGTGTGTGTATGTGTGTGCGTGCGTGTGCGTGCGTGTGTGTTTCTCCTACCTGTCTCTAACCACCTTCTCTGGTGTTTGGGTCCGAAAGCCTTCACCTTTTGCTGCTAGGATAAAAATCGAATCCGATTCAGGTCAGGGAGGGTCTCAGGCATCCCTGCAAGGCAGCACAGGGGCCGATCAGCATCGCCCCTCCCCTGCAGTGCCCGCCCCTCCACTCTACCATTCCTTTCCCAGACTCCTCCCTCACCAGACTTGGTCTCCTCTGTCCCCCGCAGAGACGCGATGAGCAGCCACGGCAACAGTCTGTTCCTGAGAGAGAGCGGAGTGGGTGGCGTGGGCTGTCTGCAGGGCCTGCAGGACAGTCTGCAGCAGAGAGCATTGCGCACGCGCCTGCGTCTGCAGACCATGACCCGAGAGCACGTTCGGCGCTTCCTGCGCCGGAACGCCTTCATCTTGCTCACAGTCAGCGCTGTGATCATTGGTGAGCTCTGTTTCTGGGAGGCGGAACTTCTATTAAGTGCCCCCCCCACCCCGTGCACTCATCTTATATGTCCCCAGTTCCTCAGAGGACACAGGTATGAACACGATGTGCACACGCATGAACACTGCGCAGACACGCACCTTACGACTCCACACAGAGAGATGAATATATCTTACATATATACAGAATTTAGAAGTGCAATCACATAAACTGTGCAAACGTTCATAAATATGCAGCTACCCATCATACCTTGGGGAGACTGGTTCCAGCGAACACTACCCCATTTTATTTAAGGAATTTGAGTGTCTATTGATTTGGGTATCCGGGGATTTGATTATTCACAAGCTTTTGTTATCTGTGGATACTCAAGTCCCTTTAATAAAATGGGGATAGTGTTTGTATAGGATCTGTGGCTAAGTCTCTAGGTTACTTATAACACCCAAAGCAGCGTAACTGCTAGGTAAGTAGTTGTTATACTGCATTGTCTAGGGAATAGTGATAAGAGAAAAAATATCTCTATGTGTTCAACAGACACAATTTAAAAATTTATGTGATGTTGTATAATAGGATGGGTTTCATTATGGCATCTTCATATCTATATCCAATGTGCTCTGGTCATATTCCTTTTCCTTCACCCCTTTTTACCCAGTGACCCCCTGTGGGTCCCTTTCTTCTCCCCATATAGCTCCCCTTCTGTTTTCATCAGATACAATATTTCCCCTAAAGATTTCCATGTTGCTTGATTAATTTGACAGTGTGGTATCCAAAGTTACCAGGGCCAGCTCTGTTAGGTTTCTACATGCTTAGAAGCATAACTACATATGCACTTCCATGTTTGAAAGTGATACCATAGACACAGGAGTCACACTTATAGACACACCCAAGAAATACACGTACGCATCTCTGTATATGAGCCCACATATTCAGCCACGTGTTTATGCTCACAACTGAATGTATACTGTCACATATACATGCATGTGAATGCACATATACCCTCTGCACACACAAATGCATGCAATGCACATGTATATCCACGTGCACACAGCTGCACATCATGCACACACGTACCCATGCTCACACAAATGCGCACACATACTCACACACACTCACTCATGCACATACACACCCAGGAACAAACCTGTGTATACACAGACCCACGCATATGCAAATACACACTTATACCCAGCACACACATGCTCATGTCAGTACCCATGCACATGCCCACATATATACATAGTCATGCATGCAACCTTTTACACATGCCCATGCATACACAGATATCCGCATCCATATATATACAAGTACACACACATACCCATGCACAAATGTATCCATGCACACAAATGCACACGCTCATAGAATAGTCACTGCTCACCCTACTATACTCTGTTTGTGATGGATGGACCCTGCCTGGGGTTGAGATCCATAGTCCATTCCATGAACCCTTCCTTTCCGGCTCCAGGGGTCAGCCTGGCATTTGCCTTGCGCCCATACCAGCTCTCCTACCGCCAGATCAAGTACTTCTCTTTTCCTGGTGAGCTGCTCATGAGGATGCTACAGATGCTGGTGCTCCCCCTCATCGTCTCCAGCCTTGTCACAGGTGAGAGCCCAAGCTGTTGTGCATCTCCAGGACCCATTCAGAGACCAAACTTGAGAAAAGAGCCAGGGCTACCCTAACCGTGGGAGCCCTGTCCCAACTCATCAACTCAGACTGTGCCCAAGTCCTGCTGCCACATGAGCCATGTAGCCCAATAACTTTCTTGTACTTTTCCTTGAAGGTAAAATGCCATCCTTCTAGAGATCAGGGTTATCCAGAGGCGAAGAAAGGCCGTGAGGGGCAGGGAAAGTAGCTGGGATATGGGGTAGATGAATAGGAGGCGGGATTGGGTGAAGGTGTAGGAGGTGAGTGAGTGGGATGGAGGTGTCAGGATGGAGAGTAAGGAGCTGTGGGTGGAGAATGCAGCGTCTTTCCTTCGAGACAGTCAATGCTTGTGGTGCCAAGGGCCACCCTCGTCACTGCAGTGCTTCAGTTCTGATGCTGGGGCAGAAGAGCACCTACAGGCAATGTGTCAACAAATGGGCCTGGCTGTTGCCCTAGCTTCAATTATGTTGTTGTCATAAAATACTTGACAAAAAGCAGCTTAGGCCAGAAAGCCTTTATTCTAGCTCACCCACCATTCAAGGAAGTCACAACCCATTCACAACCAAGAGCAGAGAGAAAATAAATGGACACATGCTTACTTGCATCAAGCAACATCGTAACATGAATAATAAAAACCCAGGGATAGATATTGGGGTTCAAGCTGAAAATCAGAAAAGCAAAGCAGGCAACCCACTTCTCTTACCTCTACTAAACTAAAATGGTTTTCCTGTCTCCGTGAATCCTGAGAGATAGTGCTCTCCATGGACCCTCAGAAGCAAATGCCCTGAGCTCCTGTTTCCTCCTACCTTCTATTTCTTTCCCTACCCAGTCATATCACTCCTGTCTCCACCTCCCTAGTGCTGGGATCAAAGGTGTGAGCTGTTTCTCTTTAGATTGATTCACTCTCGTGTAGCCCAGGGTGGCCTTAGATTCACAGATGTCCATCTGCCTCTGTCCTGAGTCCTGGGGTTAGAGGTGTGTGCCACCTCTGCCTGGCTTCGATGACTGACTAGTATGGTTGCTGGAATTAAAGGTGTGTATCTCCACTCCCTGACTCTATGGCTGTGACTAGCTTTGCATTTTGATCTCCAGTGGCTTTATTAAATCATAAATAATATACCACCACACAACATCTCTATAGGTATACAGTCCCGAATCCCTTGCCTAGGGAATGGTGCTACACACAATAGGTGAGTATTTCTCCTTCAATAGTGTAATCTGGACAACCCCCCACAGACATGCCCACAGGCCCACCTGATCTAGACAATCCCCCATTGAGTCTCTCTTCCTACTGCTTCTAGATTGTGTTAACAATCGAAACTACTCATTAGAGTTGTGTTTCAATAAAACTTTATTTAGTGCACAAGATTTAGCCCAGAGGTGGTGACTAACAGCCCTTGGGTTTAGGGACAGAAAGGATTATCAAGGCTTAAAACACTGGTTTCTTAGGTTGGGCTTCTCAGAAGCCAAGCCCGACATGTGGATCTGGTCACAAGAGACTCACTGAGGGAGAAACTCATGAGGAAGTGAGGAAGCAGGACAGGGTGGGGAAAGGAGCCAAGCAAAGCTATGTGTTCAGAAGAAGGTGTCTCAGTGTGATCCCACTGGGTGGGGTCTCTGAGGTGTGAGCAGCATCATGGAGTTGTCCCTCACCCTCTGTCTTTACCTGAATCCCTGAACCAGCCAGTCATTGATGGTAGCTGACTCTAGGGCCGTTCTGGAGGAGGAAGCTCCCATTCTGCTGGGGATCATTCTTAGAAGGGAAAAGTGCAGGCTGATAGTATCCAAACTCATAGCAGCTGGGTGGTTGCACTGGCCTGGTAGAAGACATGTAGGTACAGCATGGACAGTATCCAGGAAGAATGGAGAAAGAGGTGGGTTCGAGGGAGGTGAGAGTTGGACTACATCACGGGGTGAAGACTTTGGTGTTTGGGATATTTATGGTGCAGGGATAAGGGGAGGGTTGGGTGGGAGTTGAAAGGTTGACTTGGAGTAAAGGGGGAGGTACTATGATTGGTGGAGTTATTTGGAGTAAAAATTGGAATGTTATGTGCTCATGAGTGTGTGTTCCCTCCTATCTGTGTATAGTGGTAAGTGAACTGGTTTTCAGTTAGGTCTAGGGTACTGGCCCAGTTACTCATTCTTGAACAATATTTTTATTAAAAATTGTTTTTAGCTTGAGAATCAAAAGCTGAATCACCACTTGGTTGAACCACCAGGGCACTGGTCCCAAGATCCCTACAGATACCAATACCTGAGGATGCTGAATCCCTCTCTGTAAAATGATACAGTGTTTACAGATGACCTCTGCCTCTCCTCCCGTGTACTTCAGAGCATCTCTAGATGATGGGTATACCCTGTACATGCTACAACTCTATTTCAAAGTGAAATGAAACTTTTATTTACTTTTATGTGCTTACTTTGTTATTATTATTTAATCGTGGGTCTATGTGGGTTTGTGCACATGAATGCAGGTGCCCAGAAGGGGCCATCAGATACTCTGGAGCTGGAGTTACAAGTGGTTGTGAGTCACGGGATATTTGTGCTGCTAAAGGAATTTGGGTTCCCTGTAAGAGCAGGATGTATTCTTAGCTACTGGGTTATCTCACCAGCCCCCTGTATTCATTTAAAAAACTACAATCAAATTATATTTTACCTGATAAAATATTTGCTGGAGATGTAGAAGCGGCTGTATAGATAACTACCAGCATTTGGAGGTGAACCCATGGTTTCTGCGACCTCTTCAGTTAAGGGATGTGCGCTGATTTTGAGCCGATGTATGGAATGGGTGGGGGCAGATGGAGGGAACAAGGATGGGTGCTGTTGCACGGACTGTACTGTCTTCCTTCCAGGTATGGCATCCCTGGACAACAAGGCCACAGGACGGATGGGAATGCGGGCAGCTGTGTACTACATGGTGACCACAGTCATTGCGGTCTTCATCGGGATCCTAATGGTCACCATCATCCACCCTGGGAAGGGCTCCAAGGAGGGGCTGCACCGTGAGGGTCGAATTGAGACTGTCCCAACAGCTGATGCTTTCATGGACCTGGTCAGGTGACATTCTCATTTTGTTGGGAGTTCTAGATGCACATGTGACAGTTCTCTTTCTATGAGAGACCACAGGGAAAAGTGGATCTGGTTTGGAAAAGGAAGCAACTATTGGTGGCTATTGTAGAACTCACTTTCTGCCCTGATTATCCTTAAGAAAGCTACATCTAGGTATTTCTACATGGCCTTAGCT